TGATATTTATCTATTCTGCATTATCATGCCCATTACAACCCAACCTAGAATCAAGATATAAATGAAGTTACGTACCGGACTTTAGAATTAACAGCATTATCCCCACGTTTAAGGACTTAGTTACAGTGGTCACGTTTTTATTGGTCCTCTCCCCACGTCATACATTCACTGAAATATGAGGGCGGCCTGGAATGAATTATGAGGGCGGAATGGAGAAAAATATGAGGGCGCAGTGGAGTAAAACATGAGGACCAAGTGGGGTAAAATTGCTGTTATTTGTCAGCTCATGCATCTATCACAGCTTGTCTTTATGCCCACACTCCCTATCTCTTTGCCCTCGGAATATCTAACAGTTGTCAATGTTTTAACTTCCTTCTCCTGACTCCTCGACCACTGATGTTGCTTGTTGCCCTCGCGTCTTCCGACACGCTGCCTGTGTATTGGAGGTATCAGATGCGGAGTAAGCCAATGTGACGTTTAGTTTCCCAGTCATGTCCTGTTCTGTCTCCATTCCTTCCGTAACGTGAACCTTCAACCTCTTGATATTGTTGGCGTCATTCATGCTTTACTCATAAAATTTCATTAACACTTGGTTGATTTCTTCAGGTAGGAATTTTATCCCTCTTTTACTCTGCCCCTTTTGATGATGAAATTGCTTGAAGCAGAGTTTCTTGGTTGAATTGCGTTCTTCCCATTTAAAGTCTCTTCCAGTGTCTGTGTTCATATACTGTTCTTTTGCTCAAAGTCATAATCTGTCCTCAAGTCCATTTTTTTTTGTTCCGGGATAAATTATTGAAAATCAATAATTTGTCAGTGATTGGGTAAAACCTATGAAAGCCGAATGCCATGTTGAGAGTTTGAACGTGACCTTTTGTCCGGGTCACGTTAACGTTATTAACTAATTCATCCCTGAAGACACATTTGAACCCTTCCAATTCAAAGGGTAGAATAGTTCATTATGAAGTTTCAGGGGTGAATGAGTTAAAGCGAGTCAAAAGACAGCTGGTTTGAACACATAAGCCATGCTTGAGCATGAGAACGGTTTCATAAATACAGGCCATGGATTCGGAATATCAGTCATGTATGCCATTGACGTGTGCCGTGGTAATCACTGTCATGTAATGTTTAAAAATATCTTTAGGGAGATCGTCCGATAGCCGATGAAGTGTTCGGTCGTCGTGCTTCTCTGACCCCCGCCTCGGTGATTAGGTGCTTTCCGCTACATCACATTGATTCAAGGACGAGTCTCACACATTGTTGACATGAGGATGTACAATATTTACAACATGAGTAAGGAATATGATACACTGCACACATAGACTCAAAGGTTACAATAACTTAGGCATCAAACACAATAGGATAATATCACAGATTTAGAAACACAAAGATATGATACGTGCATAATTATTAAATGAATGAGTTCATAACATTCAAAGCATGAAGTCTCGCGTTACATTTTACATTTACATTTACTGGAATACGGTGAAGGGCCGTCAAACAGCATCAACTCACAGGAACATTTCAGAAGTATTACCGGGGTTCGCAATCACAACTAAGATCAGATGTATTCTATTAAAAACCCTGATGACATAACAAATACAACATATAAACCGTACATGCAACCGAACGTACCTCACATACTTGCATACATAACATAGTAAAAGGGAAATAACTCTATCGACAAATGCTATTATATAACATATATCTATTTTACCATATCAAATGTACATATACAATGATATTTATTAATATACTAATTTCTAAATCTGTAACATGAATGTATGTATTCAGTTATCTTTTCCAAAAGGTTATAAATTTGTAGTAGTGTCATTATTACTTTTAATATATTTGGTATTTACCTATACGCGTTCATATGTAACGGAAATCAGCCTTCCGTGTAATTTTGTACGTCACGCATTGCGGCAAAACTTTTAGCGCGCGCGCGGAAATAGCACGCGTAAATGCGAGTAAGGTACTGAGCGGATGTGATGTAATGTGTTGTAAACCTGTTTGTCCAGTACGTATTGTCTATTTATAGAATTCCTAGTGTGAATGTAGGGTAATTTACCTGGTGCACTGGTCACTTTTGAACAGAGCGGCCAGAGCGAGCACAGCGAACATCTTGTACTTACACCTATATCTTTACCTAGCCAGCATAGGAATAAAAAGAGGTAGCGGGCACTAGAGCCAAAAGCAATAAACTATTCATTGAACGAGTAAGACCGAGGACTCGGCGGACTTTGTCCGAGAAAACCCTCCTCACATTGAAGAGGGTTTTTACTTACGTAATAAATTAACTAAGAAAAGAACCCAGAAGTTGTGGTATATCCACGATAAAAGACGACTATTACAAATTCATTCTTTAAGTAATTACATAAATATAATTACTATGAAACCTATACTTTTACTAGTGCAAATTACTCGTATACACTTTTAAAATTCCAGATATATTCGATAGATAAAAACATAGTAATGTGCACATTAAAACATTCTAGACCTATAGAACACTCACCCCACAGCTATGGTGTGAAGGTTTCCCTCAAATCCCTTCACTGAGTTCTATTTAAAGTTCAACCAGGAGCTAAACACTAAAATAATATAAATATCCCTAATAAATAATTTGAAAATTAACAAAAAGACATCTTTACATACTCAATTTCACTTTGACTTTGAAATTGTTCAATGACAATATGTCAATTACTTTTAGATAAAAAAGATAAAATTACATAGCCACAATTGAATTACAAAAAATGGTAAATTCCCTACATTTTCTATTGTATCAGATGAACAAAAAGCTATTAAACAAATAGAGTAAACATTTACCAGCTAAAGACTAAATGTACGTGTTTGATATCAGCTGGTCAGGAGCAGAGTGCCCAAGTTGGCCAAAGCCTACATACAAAGACAGATTCATTAAAGGTCCTTACACCATCTTTCACACCAGACAACATATGCAAATACAAAACATGTATAACGAAACCTAATACCTACAATATATACTAGTAAGAATTAATTACAATACAAAACATATGCCCTATTACAGAAGTTAGCACACACACGCTGCATCTCATATACATAGATGCAAATATGACAAAAGTTGACCGACTATATGCTTATAAAGCATGTGTTAATGAAACTCGAAATATTTCAGAACATCAAATTAATATTAAAGAGCGTAATTAAAACTAATTTATTCATACAGATGTTCAAATATATCAGATGCTACAGCGTAAAATCTCAGTACTATATAATAATAAAAATATTATACAACATTTATATAGCGCCCTATATAATTTGCAAAATTACTCTAAAGTGCTTTACAACATATGGATAATAGTAATAGTTATAATTCTGAAACTAAAACGGCTTACAATCACCATTATACATTAAACAAGAAGATAATCATCGCAATGGGCACATAAATGAATAAATAAAGGGTGGTACACGTCTGTGCAAAGAGTCTAAAATGCAGACGTGAAGAGGTGCGTTTTGATGTCCTTCTTGAATTTGGCAAGGGTATTTGACTTTCTTATAGCAGATGGTAAGCTATTCCACATCCCACATCCTCAAGTAAAGCCTCGGGTTAGGCAATCAAGAATAGCATCCCTCGGGTTGGAGATTTCTCTGCCACATCACACATTCTGAAAGTAGGAGATAATTGATTTTCTCCCATTCTGTGTTTCATTCACAAATCCGCCGACAAGCGGTGATTGCATGTTCGAGCAAATCCAGAGTTGTCTTCCATGGTCTGCTACTGTGGACGTGGTGACGTCATACTATTGTTATGACTTAGATCGTGCCATTCTGCACGAGGCTATCTCCCCCTTGGAGGTGACTAATAAGAGCGCAGCTCTTCTTGCGCCGAAAGGCGCAAAAAGCGAAGCTCTTTTCCGGTAACATGTACGAACAATTGAAGTCATGATAACGTCGAAATACTATGCTTCCAAAATCCTTCGTCACGGAAGTAGCTAGCATAGCGTTACCGCGGTCCTATTTTTACGATGCTGTGTAGCTTTGCTACACATTCTCAAAAATATCTCTTTATTTGATAAAAAAATTCTGTGGCTATGTAAATTCATGACATTAAAAGTTATGGAAACTGAAGCTTCTTTCAAATTTTCAGTCATTTCTTCTCTCCACTCAAACCGGAAGTATATAGTAACTAACAAACCAGATGGAAATCCGGATATGTTTGGGCTATTGTGATTCTCTTTTTACACGATTTTGAGGGATCAGGCAAAGTATATCATGTCGGAAAATAAAATTTGAATTTAATCACCAATATAATTAACTTTTATAATAACAGATAAGAACAGTTATATTTGATAAACAACACATCTTCAAATATGAAGTCCCTCTACTGGGCTTCACTCTTTCCGCAACATTACGCTGAGGCCATAGACGGGGCAATTAAATGCAACAGTACCAAATACATTTGTGTTTTCTCTTGAACTGCATAATTCATTCGAATCTTTTTCTTTACTTATTAATTTTACATTAATTACTTTATCGCTATAAAACGAATAAATAGATATTATTTTAAATAATGTTATTTAGGAAATAAGATTGAAAAAAACAGCATTTAGACGCTTCGCTCGTTTCAGGCAATGCCTGTTTTCAAAATGAATGATTTTGCCCAGCAACAGATTCAAGTATATTAAAAAAATAAAAAAATACAGGTACATTTTGTATGTATTAAAATATTATGATTTAAAAATTATACTATATTATCGAAACAAATGTACGAGCTTCGCTCTCTCCAGGCCATGCCTGAGTCATATTATAATCTTCCCCTACCTTAAGGGTGTGATAGGGAAATCTCCAACCCGAGGGGTGATGCTTTTTGTTTGTCTAACCCGAGGCTCTGCCGAGGGTTAGACAACCAAACATTTCACCCCGAGGGTTGGAGATTTCTCTGTCATACCCTCAAGGTATACGTAGGGGATGATTGCTTTTATCCCATCCTATACACGGCTTTTTTCATTATTACGTCATAGCGAGTAGGCGCGGCCATATTGATCACGTGACCTGTCCGCCATTGCAACAGTGATCAAACGTGACAAATGTACAATCGAGGAGGCAGCGAAGCGTGTGCTGTTGTTGGGTGCTCCAACAACCGTAAAAAAATACATGTTTGGAAAAAGGCGATGTGCGAGGGTCATGGAATTATTCACGAAGACTGTCCGTGTTGTGTTCCATATAGCCTACCCAAATTACCCTTGGACGAGGAAGTGAAGCGGGAATGGGTGGCGGCCCTACATCGGAAAGATCTTCCAAAGAATGTGCGTGTGTCACTGTGCTCTCAATATGTCATCGATGGCCGCCCGACAGAGCAAAACCCAACTCCAAAGATTAACCTTGGTATGTCGTCTTTCTCTTTGATTCAGGGTTAACTGTAATTGTCCATGTAGGCCTAGTCATGTTTCAAAGAGATATGGCGGGTTGCTATGCCTATTTCCCCAAAGCTATGTTACGCTATAGTGCGCGCATCAAACCGTGCACTGTTATGACGCGTCCTCAGGTATTTTTTATACAGGTAGCAATATCGGAATCCCGTGTCTAAGAATAAATTATTGTAAACAGACCATATATTTGGTATTTCGGCATTATTTGTTGGTGTTTAGCACTTGATATAATTACTATTGCCAGTTGGAGGGTAAAACAATTAATAAATTTCATCAGGGACAGTATATACGTCCCTGATTTCATCAAAATTAGTGTCTTGCCTACAAATCGTAGCTGTACTGTACACGTGTACAGGGATTTGTTGACATGCTTCGATAGAAGTATGTCGCAGTAAATAGTAAAGAACAACTAACAAAACTGATAAATCAATAGGTATGTTATTAAAATGTAAACAAAATCTTCCATCGATTTAAAAAAAAACACCATTGCCTTATTAAGGAAAATGATCACATGCCTAAATATTTCAAAAAAAAAATAAAAAAAAATAAAAAAATATTGCCAATTACAAACTTATTTAACCCGACAAACACCGGTCGCAGTTTAGAGAAACTTGATCACCCCTGTTTTTCATTATTTTGAGCACTTTCCCAAAGGAGGACCACTTTTCCGTAATACGATTTGTTTTTGCATATTACATCACGGTCACAAAAAGTTTATTCAAAAGTTGGTCCTCGGATGGGAAAGTGTTTAAATTATTTTTTTATGTCCGGGAAACCCCATCATTTTCATAGATATAGTGTATATGGCTATATTTGCAGTATCATATTAGCAATACCTAATTTCTCAGCAGTTAAAAAATTCATATTCAATTGGTTTTGTATCTTTTGTATGCATTTTTGCTACACGAAATGTTTTACTCCTAAAAATTTTCCCCGTTTTCATAAATGCCGACTTAGGGAAATACGGGCAGTTTTCCACCATACCTCTTTAAGTTTAAGCTAAACTTTTATCGCTCAGTCATACTCCACCGACAGTAGTGTAAACAGAAACACATGTGGGGTATGAATATCGTCATTCACCTTTGATGACGTCACAATTACCGGTGACGCATTTTAATGACGTCACAATTGAACACGTGCTAATCGGCACGAGGCTATCTCCCCTTAGAATGGTTAGACTATAGGGGTGACAAGCTGATTTTTCCCGGCTGAAACAGGAGACACACCTGTGATGGGTGGGAGAAGCCCCTTTCTCACCCTCAAGGGATGAGAGATTTTATTTATCTTTTATAAACTATGAAAAGGGCTTAAAATGTAGACACGTCTATGAAGGGTGGGAGAAATATGTGTCTACTGTAGCCGATCTAGTTTGAATGGGATGAATACATACACACCAAACAGTATAAAAACATGCCACGGGTATTGTTCAGTCTATATTTACCCGTTTCCAATGCCCGACATGCTGTTGTAAGATCTGCTATGATTAATTAACCCTAGAAACTGTTATGGTATATCTTGAATCTTTGATAAGATCTTGAATGTGGTAGTGCTGTATTGCTCTATAGATCAACTGCTGAAGTATTGATCTATGGGCGTTGTCAAGGTCCAGCCAAATAGCAGTGATGTCACCATGCATTGTTATTTTCCCTGTTGTGGTGATAGTGTTTTGTTCTCAGTACACACCGGGAATCACTGTCCGTCCTATCTCTACCGATATATCTATGAGGTATAACGAAAAAGATCGTCCACTTTCAGCAAAGTATTTGTCTTAAATTTTGGGTACATGTTCATGGAGTTCTTCTTTTTTGAAACATTTTCTCATTTCCGTCTGCCAGCCATCTGGGATTCCGTCCTTCCTCCAGTTTGCATTGAGTAGCCACCGCAGTGTATCATGGTGACCTCATATAAAATACCGCTAGAGCTTGGTACTGCCGCTGTTTGTGATCTTCCTTGTTGATTCCTTTATACTTGATAAAATAGTGAGTTTCCCTATTTCTTTCCCGCCTTTCGTCATCATTCGTTTGTGCTTTCAGTAATACGAAGGAACATCAATTGTTTTTCGAGGTCATATCAAAAGCTATTGCGATTGTGCTCTGTCCAATGCATATGTTATGGCATGTTTGAGCCGATTCCGTAAGATTTTCAGGTTTTTTCGTGGCTTCACAAGCTGCCGTTGCGATCAGTTAGGCTTGCTAACTGCGCAGTATTTTTTCCCTCCACTCTGATCCAAATCTTTAGCAATCCAATGTGTTGTCGTCAGCAAATTTATCTTGTCATCGCCATCATAAAATTGGTTCCAATAATCCATGTTATTCTTCCGTGCCCCCTTTGTTTTGGCTTTACGTCCATCCACTTTGTCCCCTAAATAGTCGAGAGGTCAACAACACTGAGGTGTACCACCATACTGAATATTTGCGCCCTGCTCTGCTTATCGCCGGGTAAGCTACTTGACTTTCTTCACCTATTCGATCGTCAACTGACCTGTCTCTTTCTCTCCTTTAAAACACCGTTGGACGAGCATTGTGGTTGCAATGTTCTCTGCCCTGTTGAGTCTCTCATCCTTTCCAACCTTCATTCGTCTGAGGACTCAGTGAGTGCTGTTCTCTCTGTCTGCTGGTAGGTGATTGTAGGTTGTATCCTCACAGAGTGCTGTTCTCTCTGTCTGCTGGTAGGTGATTGTAGGTTGTATCCTCACGGAGTGTTGTTCTCTCTGTCTGCTGGTAGGTG